CGTAACCTAACCTACCTACTTACTTAACGTTAACGTTAACGTTACGTTACTTACGTTACGTTACTTACTACTACTACGTACGTACGTACGACTACGTAGTAGAGAGAGAGAGAGAGAGAGAGAGAGAGAGAGGGAGCACCGTCATTTTGCAACTTTCCTTATTTTGATATGTTCCAAAATCCTTGAGAGTCGAACCTTTTGGTGAAAGTGGCTTTTTCATTATACAACGTCCTAACCAGTTAGGTTCACTTTTAGCGTGTCGGTCTACTTCGTATTTGTAGCATACGTGAAAAGCACGAGAAGTGAGTGAAGCAGGCAAGCCTCATATGTCCTTTTTTTAGTGTTAAATTGGTGTCCTTGCTGCCTATGGTGAAATCCTCTGAGCCCTTCATTCAATACAAAATAAATATATCTCCAAAGAGAACTTTTGGGCATCTCACAATACAGCCTCCGCCGCAATGTATCGGGTCGGGTCCGGCAGTCTTGGTTTAAACCCGGTCTTAGTCCTGATTGGGCTGGGCTATAAGGGTTTTGGCCATTGCTCTATCAAGACCGGGCCGGACTTTGCCTAGACCCAGCACAGCCCTACCCTTGATCCGTTGTTGCCCGGCCCCGGCCACACTTTATTACCCAAGCCCTAGTTTTTTAGGGCCAAGCCGTACACCGACTCATTGTCACCCCTACCTGAGCCTTTATTACTGAATGGCAAATAAGAGAGAGAGGGAGATTCCCTTTGGCTTTTATTGGGTGGACAACAAACAGGTGTCCCACAAAAACAAGGGCAAAAGACTTTTAGGTATCTCTCTCTCTCTCCCACATTTACAAACACAAGGGGAGTGGAGTGGAGTGGAGTGGAGTGGAGAGAGAATAAAGGGAATGAGAGTGGCAATAACAAGTAGGGAATCCTCTCTTGTAAGAATTGAATAAGAAAAAAAATGATATAAGAGCTTTCGGACATGTCTTACTCTCTCTCCCAAATTCACCATCACGCGTAATATTGTTAGATTCGCTTCGAAATCTTTTTTAGATTTGGTGAAAAAAAAGAAAGAAAGTAAAACAGTTCAATCATTCAGCCGATTTGGAGAAAGTTTTGAAATTTTTCTAAAAAAAGTTAATACAAATAAATTAAATATTTATATATAAAAATATAATAAAAATAATAAAAAAATTTCAAAAAATTTAAAAAATACAAAATACTTTTATATAGATATTTTTTTGTTTAAAAAAAAAAAAACTGAAACTTCGACCGAATAAGCCCCAAAACATAACAAAATCTAACCGAAGCCATCGGAATATGACTACTTCACTAAGCTTCAATTTGTTCGGCCGAAGCAAAACAAATTTGACAACATTGATCACACACACAAGGGGAGGGGGAGAGAGAGTAGCAATTACACGACGCGAGGGAATACTCCAACCCGTGTTATTAGAATCGGACCAGCCACTAATTGGTGAGAGGTTTATCGTCGAATTCCATCTACTGTCGGTTAAACCGGTTTGGAACACATTATAATCTAAACGCATAATATATATTACAAAAAATTTGCCCAATTGTTTAGCTGGTTTAACTGGCAAAAACCAGTCAGTCCAACCAAACAAAATCGCTCCAATATTAACTTCGACCAATTTTTGCTTTGGACGAGACTCACGAATGCAACAGTCAATGGTTCAATGGCCAGTCCAATCCACAATGTAAAACCATGCTCCAACCCGAAAAAATAATGAAAAGAAGGTAACGTTCCATCAACATAACAAATAACAATTACACAAATCATCAAATAACAAGTATACGAATTAGCAAATCGAGTGGTAACCATTTTCCTTTCGAATGATGGCCAGAAAACAGTTTTGCTCAAAACCAGAAAAATATGAAAAGAATACACTGCTCACAACTATCTCAGCCCACTTAGCAGTAGTTTTTCCCCATGTCTCCCAAGTAATGAAACGAAACCAGTTGACCAGAACCCATGTACATTCGCCACCAAGAACTGATCTGGACCGTGGGTAAAAGAATCCAAAGGCTGTTGAATGATACACATCCCTCTAAAGTTATCAAATCCCACATGAAACTTGATTATATGAGAAAACCCTGATATCCAATAGTAAACAATTAAAACTGATAATAATGAACAGTTCTCCATTTGTTTTATCCATCACCACCTCCAATGCCAACACTATACAGACTCTCTCTCTCACCCTCAAACTATACATATGATGATATGAAACATTCTCTCCTCCGCTCTCTCCTATTCCCATTCGCAAACTTAGACAGCGTAGACCTTCATGACTTGCTCGATCTTAGTTCGACAAACCGGGCAACCCCATCCCTTAGCTTTGATCTCTTTCAAACAATCCATACAACCAGCCATGTGCCCGCAAGGAATGCATGCACCCTCTATTGGAGCATCCCAACAAATAACACACGAACCTGAACCTTCTCCCTCAGAATTTTTATCACCTTTCACTACTCCACTTTGAATCTCCGTAACTGCTGTATCAACTTCTATAGGGCTTGAGTCAATTGACGGGTAGTGTATTGGGCCTTCTAAATTCTCCTCTAGAATTGGCGGAGCTGAAGGGACTGAAGGCTCCAAACAAGAGCTACCCACAATAAGTGAGTTATTGGCCATGATGGGTGGTGCACCACTAGGTTCAGGAGGTGGGCTTGGAGGACACTTAATTGGGGCACTACTTGGACCTGGTTCAGGCCCAGTCCAACCACCATATGAGCCTGAAAAGGGCTTATTGAGCCAGTCACCATGACTGGTATCTGACGGTTGATGAGGGTTGGGAAGTGGAGGTGGCCTTTCTTCCATGGCTGATTGAATAGATGCATTTATGGCCATAGCTATCTGAAGATCCTCTGGTCCAGTAGATGTGGGAGCGGATGGTGGAGGCAAATTTGGCTCGATAGAAGTGGGCTTCACAAAAAAAGAAACAAAAAAAAAAGGGTCAGAACAAATCAACTATATATATAGTTCATGCAGGTATCATACATGAAAAACTGACCAGCATGTGGATGCAGAAACATGCATGGATCATATGTACAAGCATGAATCACATCCATGTGCACATAAGCTTCATTCTAGTGCATTCAAATTGAGCAATATATTTTTACCTTCTTTAATTGGTCAAAGGAGAGTGCATTCATATGTCAATTTCAAAAGAATGAGATAGGGAATCTACAAAAAAGGATAACAGAATGCTAGATATGAATCATCCGAGGATGCAATATTTGTCCATGAAAACTACTTCGGAAATTATGCCAAATATTCACAAAGCCAATAAATATTGGTGCTTGATCTACGAAACGGATGGTCCCCAACTACATCATCAACTTCAAAAGTGGATGAATAGTGAGGTAAGTGGATAGCTTTCACAAGTAATGGATTGTCCAAAACTACTGATAGGCATGTGTTAATTTAACTAGGTGATTAATTGATACCAAAATTTGTGCAAGAAAACCAGAACAGCCCTCACAATCTACATTCCACTGCTGGTGTTGCAACGCATGAAAATATCCAATACAAATTGTGCTAAGAAACAAACACAGAATATCAATTGAGCTCTTTTATATTATAAATGCACATGCAATGAGGAAGTTCACAAAAATCAAACAACAAGTGACATAAATTTAACTCAGGGAAGGATAAAATAAAAAGCCCGCTAGTCTTTCTAATACCTGGGGAACCCCTAAGCATGCTTCATGGAAGCTCTTTATTTGCTGCTTGTCTCCATCGTTTCCAGATAAGAACTTATACTTGCTTTCTATAAAAAGCAGAAAATCATTACACAGGTGCAATTGCTCTCTTTCTCTCTCTAAATTTTTTGCGACATTTTATTCTGGGGTCTAGGCTTTTTAGGAAACTTACTTGTTGGCCGATCAAATATAACCAGCATTGGATCTGGTAGGTTAAAATTGGGTTCCTCACATTCCGCCTTCCATAGTGAGATAACCGTGCGGGGTCCAAAAGCCTACATGCAAAACATGAAAATTCCACTCAGTAAAAGATAAAGAATTGAAATATTATACAATTTGAGTCCCCAAAATGCAATTTAATCTCGTAACACATTATCCAGATTGTGACAAAAAGGTTTTAATAGAACTCCCGGCAGTCAAGGAAAATTGCAAACAATACATCTTGTAACACATTATCCAGACTGTCTATTTTCAAAATGTCAAAGTGTTAATAGAACTGCTCAATCTACAACATTTTTGGAGCTTTAAATTTGATAATAGGGGTGCAAATAGATTTTTAGGCCAATGTAAGGGTTTCTGGCACCAAAATTGTATCCTTTAGCAAGATTTAGAGGTATAACTTACTTTGAATGTTTAAGGTTGACACTTTATATAAACCGCACCCATAAATAAAAAACAAAGATCAAAAAAGTAATACAAAGATGAGATTAATGACATATTCATTATAGAAATCAACCAGTTTTCTCAATGAAAAGTCAAGATATTTGATTTTTCTTATAATAAAAAAGTTTAAATAGTCAAATCTAATCAATAATGCAATACCTGGAGTCCCGGATAAATGCGAAGCTCAAATTTGCGTGGCCTAGTAGGGTTGCGATAGTCAGAAGGTATTACCACTGCCCATCTGAAGAAAGAGCAGCTCAAGTTAGTCCAGGAAATTACTCTTTTACAAGAAATACCCATTTCAAATATAAATGCATATTATATATATACACCCAACAAAGATGTACAGAGTGACAACCATTATTTTGGTCTTTAAGCCATGATAGAAAGACACAGACACATGTGAGCATCCAACATAGATAAGAGTATAAGATATGCAAACTCCAAAATTAGCCTTTTAGAGATGACACATCCATATATCATTCATAAACAGGGGGTGGAGTGGGATTTTAAGTGAAAGTATTTCAACAAGAAAGGTTAAGACAAATTGTCAAAGTTTCTAAAATGTCATAAACAGTCCTAAGTTTGTTTTCATGTGCCAAAATCCATGAACATACATGTCCAAGTCACACAATTCAATAAAGATAAAAGATAGCATAAGTGGTTCACTGATACCCAATAGTCCAAGTCACACAGTTCAATAAAGATAAAAGATAGCATAAGTGGTTCATTGATACCCAATACATATACGCACACTTTTTTCGACGCCCATTGGGGTACTAATGCTCCCAAGAACCCAGGTCCAGAAAGCTCCCGAAGCCAACCAGAAAAAAGGCAGATATGAGCCTGAGGAAGTTCAAAGATACCAAGGTAAGCCTAGTTGCACACTTCCAGAGTATATTAGCAGAGTTTCGGCTTCCAAATTATTTCACAGGCTCTACCTCGAAGTTATATAAACAACACAAGGCCCTATAGGTTGCATTAGAGGGACTTAAAAGATGCCAACTCACCTCAATGACACGAACAACGTGAAAGAAACCCTTTTCTCTAGCAATATCAAGAGGGCTCTGGCAATCATCATTCATAACTATAGCATTTGCTGCACAAAAAGAAAAGATAAATTTCATGAAAACAAGTTTATTTTAGCCCAACAAAAGTGTCTTACCATTGACGACCAGTATTTTTAGATTCAACGAGCTGACTTGGGACTCCCATGCACCTGCCTAGGGCTCGGGACCCAAGCGAAACTCGACCCGTGCCCAAGTTTTAAACACTAATGAGGACTCTGCGAAAAAAGGAAATATGCCCAATTTTTTCTGTACTCATTTTTTGGTAGATGTTTATCTTTTAGCAGAATTTTTTAGAAAGGACTGGAAAAAACATTTGTTTGTTTCAAAATTCTGGAACAGGTGACAAACCTCCCCGAGAAAGCAACAACCTAGCAATGCTATGAAGGCCTCTCTTAGCAGCATGATGCAATGGAGTTCCCCCGTGTGACCCTGCAGCATTTGAAGAAACAGAAGTCCAAACATAAGGCTTTGAGATTGACAGCTGCATCTTAAAAAGTTTTAGACAAATTTTTATTCATGAATTGAGTTAAATCCAAATCATCCCATCAGTGTGCCGGAACTCGGCAAGTTACTTCACAGAGTTTGAGGAACTCGGCCGAGTACCATGCACACATAGAAAAGTTAGGGTTGAAACCCAAACCCCCTTGTGTCTAGGAGAGAGAGGTAGGGTTGGGCATGTGGGCAGAGAAGAGAGAGCCTGGGGCAAAATTTTGGCTCTCTTCCCCTTGGGCTGGGCTTTGACACGGCTAGTAGAGGCAACTCTCCCCACGGTTCTTGAAGCACCTGGCTGAAGGCAATAGGAGGCATCAACTCTTCCCCAGGATTTTGAAGGGGCCAGCTGAAGGTGAAAGGAGGTATTGATGCAGAAAATACGATGGAAGGATCGATGCTCTGGGATCCAAAATATGATGAGATAGAGGAATTTCGGGCTGTGCCTTGTTTAGAGAGAGAAGGTATCCCAATATCTGATGAGCGAGGGGAGTAACAAGGCTTTGCTCTCTTTTTTTTTCTTTTTCTTTTTTTTGAGAGAGAGAGAGGGTATCTGATAGGGTACAATGGAAGATTAAAGTACTCGAGAAGACAAAATTTGGCGAGAGATCTGAAGCAAGGGCGTACATGCAAGTAGGGCAAAGATCTTGGGAGAAGGCAAGCTAGTGGTTGAGGATTTAGCCCTGATTTTAGGGAGAGAAGGTGGTGCCCTTTCTCCAACGGTCAGATTCAGAGAAAGAAAGAGAGAAGGGGCCTGATATAGAGAGAGAATAGAGAAAAAGAGAGATTTCTCAGTGTGATATAGGGAGAGAAAGAGAGGAGGGGTCTCATATAGAGAGAGATTACTGTACATGTCCCTGTAAAACAGGGTGGCGTACAAAAAAAATTGGCACATACTCGGGCGAGTCCCTGAACACTGCATGCCATTGATTATTTGAAGAAGGAAATAAACTTGCAAATGACATCATTTCCCTCCTAAGATGCAGAGATACAGGAACAAAGGGCACAACTGGCATTTATTATAATCTAGGAAACAGATAGCATTTATTATAACCTAGGAAACAGATACAGATACAAAAGTTCTATCCAACACAATGATGCATACATGTAATCCTTACACAATGTAAAAATATGTATTAGACACAAACATAAAAGTATATACCGTATCATAATGCATAACTTATATTTAGCTAGTAATATATATTTTATAATTTTATTCTTGTATATTTAATAATTTTATTCTTGTATCTCCAACATATACAACTGCTTGTATCAAGGATTCCCCCCATACAAATGGATGTATTAGGATTATCAGAATAGTATTCGAATTCATAAATAGATAAACCGCGAGCTTCACTAGACACTGTGGGTCTAGAAAGGTTCATGCCCCAATCATTTGATTCACAAATGACTGCATATCTGAGTATGAAGGCTGGCATCTTTTTGCTCCTCAAAAAAGCCATAGTCCTTCACTCATGGGAGCTTATTGTTTGCCTGGCCATATGAGCAATGAGGGATTCTCCAAAATAGGCATATTGACTGTCATTGAGTGAATTCTACTATTCTGGCATTCATCCTTTGAGTGGAAAGTGTATTACATATCAAAAATTTTAGGGAGATCAGCCATGTTGAAAGCTCATACAAGATCCTTTTAGAAGGTCACTTTTTACTCAGAATGGTGATGATCTTCTTGTTTTCTAACAACTAAAGTGCCTTCTGCTAGGCAGAATCATGCAGGATTCTTACACCACATAAGATTTGAATAACCAATACTAGCCAGTAGCAAATAATTGGTGCAAAAGTTAGACTTGTAGAAGGCTTCCTGATGGTGTCGATTGAATCAGCTTGAGCATATACCAAGGCAAATGAACTTATCAAGGAGGTGGGCAAAATTTAATTAGTTTCTATGCATCTATACTCAGTTTACTACATCTTTTGAAGCATCCTCAGACTTCCCAAGAGCTCTACGCATCTTCATACAGGTAAACCACAGCTCTGTTTCAATGAAGCATTTGGATACATTATATGAAGGTAAAAGGGGCCCACTTTTGGATCTTGGGAAAAGTGCCAAGGATTCAACTATTTATTTCGCTAGACACCTCCATTTTATGCTTTGAAGCCCCAATCTAGTCACCTGGGCAACAGTAAATTAGAAGCACAGAATAGTGGACCAAAACAGTTATCAGAGACGGTGTAAATTTTGGTGCATGAAGGGGACTTTGCATTGGAAATAGTTTGGGATACTTGTAAGTGCTCCATTTAATGCTTTACAACCTAGTGTGCAAATATGACGTGTTCATTAGAAAGTCATACCATTCAAGACCACCATGGTTCATCTCCCTTTTTCATCCACATCCATCTAGCATTTCAACATAATGGTAAAAAGCCTGAAACAACTCCAAAGTACTTCTCTACAGAATAAGCAAAATAAGGTGTAACATTATCACTGATTAAGGGGGAGAAATTGTTCAGGACCTAGGGCAAGGCAGGGCTCGGCATAAGTTAAAGGTGGCCAAACGGAGTTGACAAGGGAAATGGTTGCTGAGGTTTGCGGCAAAAGCAATGGTGGTTTATTTAGCAATGAAGAGAAAAAGCAAAAAAAAGAAAAGAAAAGCAAAGGTGATATGTTTGGGGTTTGATTCCATAGATCAATAGTAGGATGTTTCTTCGCAAACTTTCACATCCCAGGAGAAACCAAAGCATTCTGAAGACATCTGCTGGCTATTGTGCAGTATTACAAATTCAACGTAATCAATATAAACAATGTTAGTAGAGCATCTTCATCATCATCATCATCGTCAGAGCCTTTTCCCAACTAATTGGGAATGTTAGTAGAGCATGATGGTAAGTGCATGGGAAGTGACATCACATTGAGATAGACTTACTAGTCAATTAAGATCACATATATTCTAAATCTTCATAAGTATAAAAATATGGTATGTTTGCAAATTAGTTGAAGCACAACATTTCATAGAAACCATCCGTGAAAGAAAATCTAAATAAAAAAGTAAAGGAATATACTCTTGGCTAATAAAGATAGCAGAATAAAAGGCACAATTCTCTAATGGCAGTCTAATCACCAAGTAAGATAAACTAAAGTTTGAATTTCAATGTGGAAGTGTGGAACAATTACACATCCAGTCTGAATGTTATGATAATTATGCATATAAAAAAAGAGCATGGAGCACCTACCAGGACGATAAGCATTAATGTTGGCACCAAGGTCTATCAATGTTTCTGCTACATTCAAGAGATCCCCTCTTGTGCATGCAAAGATCAAAGGAGTTCTTCCATCTTTATCCATCCACTGAATCATAGAGCACATGAAAGTCAATGAAAAGCCCATGTGAAACATATGCACATGTCTCTTTGAATGTACAGCCATGCACCCACATACCATAACTTCACACAAAACCCACATCTGAATCTGTGTAAGTATGGAAGCATGCATGTATGTATCATGTATAAGTGTAAATTAATGTGTTTATAAAATATAAACCACATGAAAGACTGTATTTTTAATCATTAAACATTTCATAGAAAAACTTGCATTAAGCTTCATGTAAAAGGGAGCGGGAAGGGGGGAGGGGGGGGGGGGGG